CTGACTCATTTGAAAAGACCCTGATGCTGGGAAAGATTGAAGACAGGAGAAGAGGATGACAGAGGATGAGATGGCTGGATGGCATCACCGACTCAATGGACGTGAGTTTGAGTAAACTCCAGGAGTTGGTGATGGACAGGGAGGCCTGGTGTGTTACAGTCCATGGGGTCACAAAGAGTCGGACAAGACTGAGCGACTGAACTGAACTGAACTGATGGCAATTCTATGTTTAGCTTTATAGAGGACTCATCCAACTGTCTTCCAAAGAGAGCTGCACCATTTTACAACCTCTCCAGCAATGTATAAAAGTTCTGACTTTTTCATATCCTTGCCAACTCTTGTTATTGTCTCTTTTTGATATGTTGGACTTTTTACCTGGGAAAATAATTATTTCTCTTCTGAACCAGTGGTGCCTGGTCATCTTTGTGTTGCCCTTTTAAATTCAGAGCATTTAAAAATTAATAGACTTTATTTTTTAGAACAGTTTAGGTTTATAGATAAATTGAGCAGACAGTACAGAATTTAGTCTTATTTTGTTCCTTGACATACAAGATTTCAACCAAGGTCCTTAGTCTCTTTAAAGACGATTTCCTTGTACTCACTGACTCCAAAGATTTCCTTCTCAATCTACCTTCAAAAGACCCTGGGTGGATCTAGTTCACATCTGACATACCCTTTTAAGTTTTTTTCCAATCAAAAATTGCAATTCAAAAATACAATGGGGAGCTGCTACTTATAGGAATTCTATGGTGAATATTTTTGTGAAACATTGAGTTCTTCAGGCATGTGAAATAATCCCCTTCAAATGTGATGTGGCCAGAGGCAGACTCTTGACTCACTGAGGTGCCCTCACTGTAGCCTATTTCACTAAAGAAATGGGTTAGCCCTTAAGTGTTCAATCAAAATGCTCTATTCATCATACTGGTTACCTGGGAGGATACTGTATTTATCCATGACTAAGATAGGATAGGAATACTACACCAAAAATAAAAATAGCAAGTCAAATTCTGGAATTTGAACTATCTGCTCATGATATGGTTACTTAAAGGCAGCAATCATTAAAGCTTTGGCAATTTGGCTAAAGATCTCATTAGCTTCAAACCCTGTTTCTTCAAATTTCATGTTGAAAATAACTTACCTCCTTGCCTCCTTCACTCTTTTTCTATCACCAGAATATTGATCTTTTTTAGACAACTGTTTTATGAAGGACTGCCCCAGGCTCAGTTCTTGAACCTCTTATCTAGTGACGCGTATTCCCTTAGTAATCTCATTCATTATCACAGCTTTAAGCACCATCTACATACTGATGATTTCCAAATATACATCTCCAGCCCATATCCCCCCTGAACTCCACACTTCAATGTCTCACTGCTTAAACCACATCTCTCCAAAAGTCTAACTGGCTCTTCAAACTTAACATGTACAAAATTATTGCCCCCCACCCCTGCCAAAAAAGTCTTGAACCTTCCAGAGTCTTCTCCATCTCTATGACAATACTGCCCTTCTCATGGCCCAGGCCTTGGAGCTAAAACTCCAACCTCTGCCCTCTTTCTCTTTTAAAGCCCAAATCCTATCCCTCAGCAAGTCATTATTCACTCTTCTCCAACATACAGGAATTTCAACCACTTTTCATGGCCTCCACTGCTACTCTCATCAAAGCCACCATTAGTTCTTGCTTGAATCATCACATTAGATTTCAGGCACACTCTCAACTGAGGGGTCTTGCATTTGCTTTAACCCTAGACTGGATTCTTCTCTCAACCTATAGACTTCAATCCAATTTGGCTTTCTTAGTGTGCAACCCCACTCCTATATTCCCCATATCTCCCCCCGACTTTATTTTTCTATAAACATTTTATTGCCATCCAATATACTATATATTACTCATTTATCTTTTTTTTCTCATTTATCTTTTCATGATGTCTCCCTTTGTAAACTATAAGCTCCATGAGGTGTGGATATTTGTTGAACGAATGAATGAACAGATAACCAGTTTAAAAGGTGACATGCATCTTCCCAAGCATCTCTATTCTCTCTTAAATAACCTATTACCCACCATTATCTAGTAATTCCAAATTTAGTTTCATTTCATTTAAATCCCATAGCATTTGCTGAACCTTTGCTATGCTTTAGACATTTCTATCAGGTCTTTGGATACAGATCAACTTATTTAACAAATATTTGCTGAGTATATATAACTGTACTCAGCACTGAGAACACAGCAGTAAATGAAACTGACAGAATCCCTATTTTTGTGGAGTTTACAGATTAATGGGAGATATAGATATTATTAATCAAATAATCACATAAATATAATGTGTGGTTATAAATTCATGGTATAAGGAATTACAATGATGAAAGTGATTTAGATTCATGGAGAGGAAACCAATGGAAGGTTTCTCTGAAGGAATAACATTTAAACTGAGCTGAAAGTCAATTTCCAATATATACACACCCTACCAGAAATTATCTTTCTTGTACAAGAAATTATACCACTGTGAAAAAAAGTGGCTTCCTTTTCGTTCATCTATTTGGAAAGGAGTAGAATATCTGACTGGTAGTCTAAAAAATAAACAATGATAGCTAGTGGGAAGCTGCTGTATAATACTCACTCAGTGCTCTATGATGACCTAGAAAGATGGGATCAGGGGAGGGAGGTTCAAAAGGGGAGGGGTATATGTATACTTATGACTGATTTACTCTGTTGTATGGCAGAAACTAACACAACGTTGTAAAGCAATTATACTCCAACTAAAAATAAAAAGTAAACAATGAGGTATCATTACACACCTATAAGAATGACCAAAATCCAAAACACTAACACCAAAAGCTGGCAAGGATGTGGAGAAATAGGAACCCTCATTTATTGCTGGTGGGAATGCAAAATGGTATGGCCACTTTGAAAGATAGTTTGGTAGTTTCTTACAAAACTAAACAGACTCTTCCCATACCATCCAGCAATTGCACTTCTTGATATTTAACCAAATGAGCTGAAAACTTGTGTCCACATAAAAGCCTGCACATGAATATTTATAACAGCTTTGTTCATAATTGCCAAAACTTGGAAGAAGCAACCAGAAGTCCTTCCATAGGTGAATGGATAGATACACTGTGGTGTGTGCAGAAAGAAAAAAAGAGAAAATGAGCTGTAAGCCCATGAAAAGACAGGGAGGAACCTTAAGTATATATTACTAAATTAAAGAAGCCAATCTAAGAAGGCTATATACTGTATGATTCCAACTATATGACACTCCGGAAAAAGCAAAACCACAGAGACAGTAAAAAAGATCAGTGGATCCTGGGGGTTTGGGGAGAAGGAAGAATGAATAGACAGAACACAAAGGATTTTTAGGACAGCGACTCTCTACCGTATGATACTATAATGGTGGATACATGTCATTATACATTTGTCAAAACCCACAGGATGTATGACACTTAGAGTGAACCCTAATATAAATGATGGATGTGAGGTGATAATGATGTTCCAATATACATTCATTGAGTCTAACAAATGAATCACCCTGGTAAGGAATTTTGATGAGGGGGAAGCTGCACATTTGTGGGGGTAGGAGGTATGCAGGAAATTTTTACCCCTTCCACATGACTTTGCTATTAACCTAAAACTTCTCTAAAAAAATAGTCTGTTAAAGTTTACTTTGAAAAGGCAATACTTTAACAAATAAGAAGGTACTGTGGGGTGGTAGAATGAGACAGAGAAGGAATCTGACAACTATGTGCTAGCCTCAAATCTGCCACAATCAGGCTATGTGACTTAGGACACATTTTCTTAGCTTTTCTGGACCTTGTACATAAAGGGGAGTAGATCTCAGTGGATCCAAACTTGGTTTGGGTTGTTTCCTCCCAGGCTACCCTTCACACCAGGGTTATCTTCCTAAAAATCACAAGCTGGTTATACTATCCCCTATTTTCAGCTTCCTTTGCCTGCCTCCTCCAGGATAAAAGCCAAACTCTTTCTTAGGGATATATAGAGAGCCTTCATAATTTGATCCTTTTGGCCATGCTATAATTTCCTTTCATTCTAGCCCATATTTCTTTACAAGTGCTCCTCAAAGTGTAATCCAAGGATCACCCACCACTGAATGACTGTGACAAAAGCAAATACCTCTTCCCCACATAAGGTTAGAATCTCAGGTGATAGAACACAAGAATCTACATTTTTTGCAAGATCTCCAGGTGATTCTGCCTCACATGGTATTTGAAAACCAAAACCCTGTATTTTAGCCATGCTGAATGCCCCCTACCCCCATTCCCCTGCCTGGAATGTCCTTCCCTGCCTTAATCTACATAGTAACATCCACTTTTTAGCACAAATGGCACCTCTCCTGTGAAGCCTTTAGCCCAGATCCCTAGGCAATGGACTGTTCCCTCCTCTGTGCTTCTACAGCGCTTAGCTCATTTGTCAGACAGTACCTATTGTACTGTACTTAGAATCTGTTTACATGTCTGTTTCTCCCTGGATGTGACCTCTAAAGTAGTGATTATGTCTTAACATATTTTTACATCCCCAGCATCTAGGACATACTAGACAGACAATAAATGTTGGCTGAACAAATAAATGGATAAAGATGAAGAACTAAACTATTCCTTTCACAAGTATTCGAGTGCCTACAATGTGGTAGATACTATTCTAGTATAAGAAAGTAGCCATAAATTTTTGCCTGTAAGGCAATTAGAACCTTGGACACAGGGTTCTATTCTAAGCCTCTTTCAGCATTTTATCTGTGGAAACTGTCCAAAGGAGCCCCTTGTTTGCTTATTCACTCTTTAGGTTAGAACCACTTGTCTGATGTTCACAAGCGAGTGGCATTATGAGAATGAATGGCGGTGGGAAAGCACAATGCGCTTAGTCTGTTCCCATAAATGTGCTTTAAGAGTCCAGACTCAATTTCATAGTCACCTTATCTTTATCAATTTCCGGAGAATGTATCTGAAAGAGTTGGCAGATGAGAGAACAGTAAATGAAGACAAAGCCAAAGTGATTCTGTCAATAAATACTTTAATGAGAACTGAGGTCTGTAACATACATAGCAGTAACTGCCCTGGCCTATGCCTTTTGCTCTAGCCCAAGTCTGGGGCTAACAAACTACATTTAACCCACATTTGAAGAGAAGGCCATTTTGAGTATCATCCATCAGTATCCATCTTCACAGAAGATACCAATCTGGGGCCAGAGTCTCAATGTTAATACTTCCTCTCAGGGAAAAGTTCACATGGCAACACAAACACATGAGCAATTTTGAACCATCCTATCATTCTTCCACCAGAAGGGCCTTGGGAGACCAATGGTTCAGTAAACACTTACAACTTGATCAAAATACAGTAGAACACAGAAAAAAGGGGAAAGAAGAGTAGAAAGGTTGGCAGGGTTTGGCTCACGTCCTTAGATTTGAAGCCTCTTGAGCTGCTCATATGTAATAAAAAACTGAAGAGTAAGTCATGGAAGATCACTGGAATGATACTGAAAGTCAAACCTGGTTATAAATTGTATACTGCATTCTCTTATTGGGACACTTAGTCTCTGCTATTCTAAGTTGTACTTGCTTAAAAGTCTTTTTAAAGACTACATCTGGCAAATCAAGCATGTGTTGAGTGCCTATCATGCACCCATTTTAATTGTTGGCATTTAGCAATATAAGCATATTAAAAGTCTAACATACTTCTATTCTTTAGGGGCAAATAGGCCGCGCACACACACACACACACACACACACACACACACACACACACACACATCCAAGAACATCAACAACATAAAATTCAGTGCTAGAGTAACTGTTACAGACATTAGATGATCAGGAAGAGGAATGGAGACACTATCTCCCTCAACCTATAGACTCCACAAGGGCAGGGAATGACTTTTCAACCCTGCAGTGCTCACCACAATACAAACACCACCACACACACCATCCAACTCATGGCTCTGCACACAGGAGGCACTCAAACACAGCTAAAGGAAGGAAAATTACCCGGGAGGAAAGAGCCCCCCTTGGTTCTGGATTCCTTTGTTCTATGAGTATTTTCTGTCTGATTATTTCCCCAGCTACTCTGGTCCTATACTTAGGGATAGGAAATGTGGACTATCACACCATAGATCTTCCTGTGGATACCTCATAGCAGGGTTTTCAAAACCTTCCTAGCCCCTTCCAGATTTGGCTATGCTTGTTGTTTGTTTTAAAGAGGAAAAGAAACTTCGGCATTTCTTTTCTAATCCCTTTAGCTTGTATTAGACTCCAACTGAAAGCCATTTCTGTACTTAGTTCCATGTGCAATGGTCATCACTAGAATAGATTCTCATTTGCCTAAAAGGCTCCAAAAATCACAATTTTCCTTCCCATAGCCTCGAATTACCTGGGAGCTTGAAGCATGTGCTTTCATTCTCATGTTCTCAAAGGATACAATGATGTTCCAGGGTCCAAGTCGAAGCCAGTTTGGCCAAAATCCTTTATAGAGTGCAAAAAAGCCCTCGTGTTTCCACATCTGAGGGAAAGATATAAAAAAAAATAAGTGAATTCTCCTTACACTTTACTTCTGACAATTACTGTTATTATAGTACTCATCTTCCATGCCCCTCCCCAACAACTTAGGATCCATGAATGATCCTTTTTGCTACAGACATACATTTTTAATTAGTATGGTATTCTAAATCCATCCACCCACTCATTCAACAAATATTTGCTAAGTACCTACAATATGCAAGATACTCTTCTCAGTGTTGGGATAGTAGTAATAACAGTAAACAAGAGAGAAAGCAGCTGTGGTAGTCAGCCTCCAAGACGGCCCCCAACGATAACCATCTCCAGTTATTCATACCCTTGTGTAGTCCCTCCCACACGTATCAGGATTGGTCTGTGTCACGAATAGCATATGGCAGTAGTTAACAATGCTATGCTATGCTATAAAAGATACTTTGCATTTAAGAAGGTTTTGCCTTGTTCTCTCTTGGATCATTTGCTCTGGAGGAAGCCAGCTGCCACATCATCAACAGAGGCCCACATGAGGGGAAACTAAGCTCTCTGGCCAACAGCCAGAAAGGAACAGAGCCTTCCTGCTGACAACAACATGAGTGATCTTTGAAGTAGATGTCCCAGCATCAGTCAAGCCTTCAGAAGATTATAGCCCTAGCTGACATCTGGACAGTTACCTCATGAGAGAGCCCAAAGTTGAAATCACTCAGCTAAGCTGCTTCTGAATTCCTGATCCACAGAAATTGTGGGATAATAAATGTATGATGTATTAAGGCACTGAGCTTTGGAGTCATTTATTACACAGCCATAGATAACTTATATGGAGAAGGCAATGGCAACCCACTCCAGTACTCTTGTCTGGAAAATCCCATGGACAGAGAAGCCTGCTAGGCTGCAGGCCATGGGGTCGCTAGGAGTTGGACATGACTGAGCGGCTTCACTTTCACTCTTCACTTTTATGCAATGGAGAAGGAAATGGCAACCCACTCCAGTATTCTTGCCTGGAAAATCCCAGGGATGGGGGAGCCTGGTGGGCTGCCATCTATGGGATCGCACAGAGTCGGACACGACTGAAGCAACTTAGCAGCAGCAGCAGCAGATAACTTACACATTCTCTGCCCTCATAGAACGCACACATCCATGTGTGTGCTCAGTAGCTTCAGTCATGTCCAACTCTTTGTGACCCAATGGACTGTAGCCCGCCAGGCTCCTCTGTCCATGGGATTCTCCAGGCAAGAATACTGGAGTGGGTTCCCATGCCCACCTCCAGGGAATCTTCCCGACCTAGGGACTGAACTGGCATATCCTGTGTCTCCTTCATTGCAGGCAGATTCTTTACCACTGAGCTACCAGGGAAGTCCCAAAGAATGCATACTCTAGTGGAACTGATGAACAAATATACAAATTAATAATATTATATTAAGAAATGATAAGTACTAATATGAAAACTAAAGCAGGGTAGGGGAATAGGGAATTGGGCAAGTCACTGTCCTTTCTGAGTCTGTTTCATCACTGAAAATTCTGCATATGTAATGCCATGGCGGACTTTATAGAAATGACTGGAGGATTAGGTGAGGGACAATGTGAAATGTTTTGAATTTGAGTTTTCTGTTTTATACGATGGAGGTCCTACATATACCAACTGAGTGGTTATTAGAATTAAACGACAAATAATGCATACCAAAGGTCATAAATTGATGATGTGTTTTTTTTATGATGTGTGCTAAATTCAGTCAACAGAAACAGTTCCTGTTTAATGGATAAATATTAAGCAATTCCTGTGTATAAGATAGCATGTTCTACATTGAAAAATGTTATTTTGTCCTCTCACTGGTGAAGTAAAACCTACCACTATACTAAAAAATGAATATATTTGGATAAAACAACAATATGAGAGTCCAGACTTCTAAATATCCCTTAGAGGAGCAACCCCACCTCCAAGGAGCAGCTGCTGCAGGGCGCAGGAGGGCCGAGAAGAGCTACTCCACGTTCAAGGTCAGGAGGGGTGGCCGTGAGAAGATACCCCTCGTCCAAGGTAAGGAGCAGCGGCTGCGCTTTGCTGGAGCAGCCATAGAGATACCCCACGTCTGAGGTCAGAGAAACCCAAGTAAGGCGGTAGGTGTTGCGAGAGGACATCAGAGGGCAGACACACTAAAACCATAATCACAGAAAACTAGCCAAACTGATCACAGGACCACAGTCATGTCTCACTCAATGAAACTAAGCCATGCCGTGTGGGGCCACCCAAGACCATCGGGTCATGGTGGAGAGGTCTGACAGAACGTGGTCCACTGGAGAAGGGAATAGCAAACCACTTCAGTATTCTTGCCTTGAGAACCTCATGAACAGTATGAGAAGGCAAAATGATAGGATACTGAAAGAGGAACTCCCCAGGTCGGTAGGTGCCCAATATGCTACTGGAGATCAGTGGAGAAATAACTCCAGAAAGAATGAAGGGATGGAGCCAAAGCAAAAACAA